TATATATATGTATATATATATGTATATATATATATATATATATATATATATACATATGTATATAATATATATATATATATATATATATATATATATATATATATATATATATATATATATATATATATAATGTGTTTCTTTGTGTGTTTTTTGGAATGCATTCGTAGGCCGATAAATTTCTGATATTGGTAGAGGGCCGTCGTGATGGGGATCTGGACTGTGAGCAGTTTCACCATAGTTCCCAGGGGCTGCAGGAGGCCCTGAACACTTACAATATGGGAGGTCTGGAAGGACCCTGAAGGCTTTGGTCACCCACGGACTTCAAACCCTGTGGAAAACGATACTTTTGGGACCCTCAGGAGGAAGGGCAAGAACAGTGAACATTTTGTACAGCGAGTGTCATGACTCAGTCTTTGAGTTTATGTACTCATTTGGATCTTTCCTTTAGACATTTAACAACGGGCCCGTTTAATAAGTTCCTAGGAGTACAGGCAAGTGAAACTATCCATAGGTCAAAAGCTCTAGCCTAGATGAAGGTGAGCAGAAGACCGTAACATCAATGTTACACATCCTTCGGGCGTCTCCTCTTGCTAATCCACATCCCACTTGAGTATGGCTTCACACAGCTGACGTCTACTTGCTAAGCAGACGGTGCGTCACAATAACGTGGCTGAAGATATGCTGACCAAACCACACACACCACAAGATGAAGAAACGACAACGTTTCGGTCTGTCCGTGACGTTTCCGTCATTATCAATTCAAAACGTCGTCGTTTCTTCATCATCTGGTGTGTGGTTTGGTCATTACGTCTACTTGCTATCCTTCTTCCACAGGTAACCAATCATGCAGTCAGAATACACTCCATTTGACGCACTTGCTGGTCGTCCCATAACTCGTTTCAGAGTACTGGGGACGACAAAGGTAGTCGCCGATAGCGCCTCACAATGACCACTGTTCCTGGAAGCACACACACACAGTTACCACACTACCGCTTATAAATACACCGTCTGCCCCTGCTCACACCGTCTGCCCCTGCTCACACCGTCTGAGGTTGTCTGCTAAGACTTACTCTGCTGCTTCATGCTAAGACTGTGACCAGTTCTCAGGATGTAGTCACAGCCGCCTGAAGCAGAGTGCCACACCAACTAATGTCAGGCATGATATCGTTTCTATGTGACGTTACAGGATGCCTCTCATTGTCACATTTGTCACGTGTGAAGCGGGATGAAAATAATGTAAGAACTCGAGTTCCGTTATTATTAATATTTGGGCTAGTAGAATTGACTTTCATTAATCAAGAATAAATACAACTTCATCACAAACAATAAAGATCCCAGCTCAGATAAAATATAATTCTGCGGTCACTTATGTTGGTGTTGTGTGAGTATGACTCGATGGCACACTTTGTCGACATTGCTGATGTGTTTCCCAGCCATCCTGGGCCCATGGCACCATACCCTTCGCCTCTCACTATAAACGGCAACTTACACCATAACGATATATTTCACGACCAAAGATCGCATTCACGCCGAAAACTCTCACCACTTACGGGCTATTCATGTCCCTGCCACCTCTTGGGTGGCTTTATCTTCATCAGTCAATCAGAACGAGAGAAATAGGGCATAGGATGTATTCACTAGTATACCCTAGTGTACCCTAGTATATGTAGTGTACCCTAGTGTACACTAGTATACCCTAGTGTACCCTAGTAGTGTATACCCTAGTTACACCGGGGGTGGTGTCCCCGGGGCAGGCACTTGGGCGACCACTGCCCCCCAGCACCACAGGTCGGGGTCCTGCAGGCGGGTAGAGCGGGGGAGCCGCCGGGAGAGAGAGAGAGAGCAAAGTCATCTCACTATACCATGGCGTCAGCTAATTCTCCCAAATTATAGGTTAGGGGCCCAAGCCAATAACTTTTAAAACTGAAAGGGTTGAAGTCGCTGTCGACTACGACTATTCACCAGAGCTTGAGAAAATCGTCACCACGTTTAGCCGACCACAGTCAGTTTTTACCTGAGACTCTTTGAGGCCAGAGGCCATTCCATGAACACATTATCCTATTGTTACTAAATTTCCCCGAGTGTTAGGATAGCCTGGGCGCCCACCATCATATTTATGGCTCTTCAGCCGAGAAGGTCAAGGCGAGCTCCAGGTGCACATTAACACCTTATTCTCTGGTGACCAAACCTAGTGGGGAGAGTGCTGGTCCCGGAGACGACCATCAGGGGCTGGTATGATGGCTTTGGTCTCTACCCTTTACCCAGAGTCCTCAGCCTGCCTCCTTCCTCTCCTACCTGCTTCTCTTCCTCAACCCCCGCCCACCACCCAATCTGGGATAAGAGAGGGTTTAGGGAGGAGGTCGGTTACAGTAGAAGACCAGTTCGGAAGAGCGTGGCTGGTCAGATGGCTGTATTGCCGTCACTTGTCTTACTCAGTAGCAGACTACAAGCTAACAATGTTGACCTGCAAGCAAGTGATTGCGGTGAGGCAGCTCCAACATCTGCACCAGCCTCCGCCCCACAACCTCCATCATTCCCGACAGGTGAGAATAGTTGTGGTGTGGCAGGAAACTCCATATATGAGCGCTGCTCGTGAGACGTGCGCGGCTTGCCTCACAGTGCCCAAGTGGTCACCAAGTTCTTCACAAGAAACACTCCCAACGGAAATACGAGGTTGAGCTCACTGCGGGCCAGACGTTGTGTGTGTGTGGGAGGTCGAGGGACTCCTGTGACCACCCACTTTGTCTTTCTACCGTCCAGCCCGTCTCGCTTCTTGCAGGTCCGCGTTCAATCCCCGTGAATGAATGAATTTACCTGGGATAGAAACCGCCCCTGGACATTAGACCTTCTATAGATTCATATATATATATAATATGTGTGTGTGTGTGTGTGTGTGTGTGTGTGTGTGTAAATCACAAAAATTAACACGTGATGAAAAATGTGAGTGTCAGACCACGGAGGAAGAATTGAAACAGGAATTTCCTTAAGTACTTTCGTATATTAATACATCTTCAGAAGGAATGAGTCCTGTGTGTGTGTGTGCGTGCGTGCACGTTTGCGTGCGCGCACGTTTGCGTGCGTGGGTGTGGGTTTGAGAGAGGGGTGTGGGACAGATGTGGTCTTTGTAAAGCGGTGGTTGGTGTAGGTGAGGGTGTGTGGGTCGGGCCAGTCTGTGGTCACCACCACCTCCGACCTGGACAATACATCTCCCGACGTTATTTAGCGGTTATTGTGAGGCTCACCCCACCACCACCACCACCTGGCCTTGCACCACCACCACCTGGCCCACCACCACCACCTGGCCTTGCACCACCACCACCACCTGGCCCACCACCACCACCTGGCCTTGCACCACCACCACCACCTGGCCCACCACCACCACCTGGCCTTGCACCACCACCACCACCTGGCCTTGCACCACCACCACCTGGCCCACCACCACCACCACCTGGCCCACCACCACCTGGCCCACCACCACCTGGCCCTGCTCCTTGTCCTCATAATTACATTACAATTTTTTTATCCCAACTTATCCAATTTATATATATTATTTCCTCTTCTATTTTGTGTTGAAATATTTAATTCCCTTTCATTCATATGTATACTTAGTCATGTCCGTCCTTAGTCATCAATTCGTCGAGAATGGAACTAGAGGTCTCTTAATACCTCTTCGTACAGGTGGGTACCGAGTCCTAGGATCACCACCTAGGAATACTAGACCCAGTTACCTAGGTCCAGTCTTTACTGAACTTCGGCTAATGCTGTAGTACTGTCCCAAAGCTGAACAGCTTAATATAAATGAAACCCTAAGAAGCGCAAAGTAAAGCTGAAAATAACATTAGCTGACCTATTATTCGTGCTCCTTATGAAGCGTAGTATCATACCGACCTTACATGTATGGAATGATTGTGGGTATGATCGTCGCTTCTGATGTGATGGCCCAACTGGGCGTCCAACTGGAGGCTTCCAGTTGTTATAATGTGGCTTGTGTGTGACAGTGTCAGCCAGGTAGAGCACACAGTGTCAGCCGGGTAGAGCACACAGTGTCAGCCAGGTAGACTGCTCAGTTCTCCAGACAGTACGAGTATCACTATACTTCGAGGAAACAAGTGACTGGGTATTCCTCCTTGCCAATCACCATACGGGTGGTGGGTCAAGCCAGAGAGACCGTCATGACCCCGCCAAGTACTCTGCCGCACATTAACAAGCGACGGTAAGTACCTGCGCTGCCAATTAACTAGTACTCGTCCCCGGGGACAGCTACCGGCCACCCACACACCAAAGATTGGGTGGGTGGTGGGCGGCGGGGATGGCCTCCAGCCGCCGCCCTCACAGTCCGCCTTAACACTCAGCACTTCTAATCGTAACAATTAATGTTTGGGGGTAATATTAAGTTTTTTTTTTTATCTTCATGTGTAATTTTTTACGGCGCGTCGAGGCCAAATGTCAGAGTAAAAAAGTTAGGAGAGATGTATTAGTAGTGAGCGGTATAGAGTTACGCTCTTTGTGTGTGGGCGTGTGTTCACCTAGTTGTGTTTGCGGAGGTTGAGCTTTGCTCTTTCGGCCCGCCTCTCAACTGTCAATCAACTGTTTACTAACTACTTTTCTTTTCCACACAAGACACACACACACACACACACACACACACACACACACACACACACACACACACACACACACACACACACACACACACACCCTAGGAAGCAGCCCGTGACAGCTGACTAACTCCCAGGTACCTAGTTACTACTAGGTAACGGGGGCATTCAGGGTGAAAGAAACTCTGCCCATTTGTTTCTGCCTGGTGCGGGAATCGAACCCGCGCCACAGAATTAAGAGTCCTGCGCGCTATCCACCAGGCTACCAGGCCCCTACCAGTGTGTGTATGTGTATGTGTGGGCGGGCGGGCGGGCGTGCGTGTGTCGGGGAGTGGGTGGGTGGGTGTGAAGAGTGAGGCAAATTATCTTTGAACGTGGCATTAATTTTGTCTTGTGTTGCAGCAGCGGGTGAAAGAAGAGGTGATCAGAGGAGCCGCAAGAAGCAGTGGCAGGAGCCGCCCACGACCACCACGACCCACGGAGAGGGCCACAACCTGCTCCACCAACCAGCCTTCATATCCACCACCACCACTACTGACCTGCTCGAGAGAGACCTGCAGGGAGTCGAAGTGGTGTCTAGTGTTTTTAAGAATAGCTCCGCCAACAACCTCATTATGGCCTGACATGAAGTCTGCAGAGTGTTGTCCGGGCTCCATGAAAGCGTGTGCGCGCGCACCACGGTAAACGCTGGTTCTAAATGGATGAGTTTGAGGCTGGTCGTTCCTCGTGTGTGGTTTACAGATACTCTGTCATAGGGGGTCCCTACCCCCCGCTAGTCAAGATGTAGCTCGTTCTGGCTGCGCGCTACGTGTAACTATTAGGTATCTGTGTGGCGTGAGTGTGTAGCTTGCAAGCCTTGGCAAGTGCTACATCATCTTGGACGGAACACCGAAGCTGCTACCAGCAACCTGTCCTACCACCACCACTGGTACACCAGCACCCACCACCGGTACACCAGCACCCACCACCGGTACACCAGCAAGAGGTGGTGAGCGACGCAGAAGACACCATGAATCGGGTGAGGACTGTGGCGTGCGTCGTCGTGGTGGTTGCCGCCTTGTCTTGGCACCGCGTCGCCGCCACCTGGTGGTAAGTACACACACTAACTACTCTTCAACACGCCATTGTAACCATATATGTTGACGGTGGAGTTGCGCCAGTATTTACCTGCAGACCATTAACATGCCTTGGTTAACGCGTGAATTAATAAAGTCCGAGACACTGGTAAACTCCACGCCGGTAAACTCATCATGTCTCACGGTCTCCAGTATGAAAATGATGAATGTTGTGTATATGAGGCACGTGTTAAACATCATGCATGTAGAATGTATGGTGTGTATAGTATGTTGTGTCACGGTGAAAAATGTCACATATACTGTGTACCATGAGCATCGTGAGTGTATGGGTGTATTCATTCCCGTCTACACAATCTTGAATACAATAGTTAACCTCACAAAGTATACCAGAGGTAGAATGATCAATACGTTGTTATAGTGAGGCGTTAACAACGATGTTGTCCCTGAGTGGGGCGTTGATTATGGGGTCAAACTTCCCATCAGGATCACTATCAGGTGGCGTTGAGATCACCAGGAGCTGTCTGTGGCTGCTTCCACGGCTCCAGGGAGCGGCCTCCAGGTAATGGGTGTAGGCAGGTCAGTAGACGAGCTGACCATGTGTAGTGTGGTAGTACACCCACCTACTCCTATCCCGGGTGTTGCCTCTAGCCCTACGACCCCTCCCTTAGCCCTTCCTTCCCTTATCCATCTTCACCCCCGTCCCCTTCCGCATATGGGGGGAAGGGGGAAGTCCTGCCCTGTCCTCCACCCTCTTCCCACCCCTTAGCTCCTCCCTCCCTTCCCATACTGCTCTCCCTATCCTCACCTCACCCCCTCCCCCTTCTGTCATTCCTCATCTTCCCCCCCCCCCCGGCCGCCTGTGAGGGGAGACCCGCCCCATTGTGCGAACGACGGCCGGGGTTATTGGATCTTGCTCTGAAATTTGAGTGGGGATATATTATGATCCTCCTATTAGTAGTGGCTGGAGGTAGTCCCTCTCCCTCTCTCCCTCTCTCCCTCTCTCCCTCTCTCCCTCTCTCCCTCTCTCCCTCTCTCCTTCTCTCTCTCTCCCACTCTCCCACTCTCTCTCTCTCTCTCTCCTCTCCCTCTCTCCTCTCTCCTCTCTCTCCTCTCTCTCTCTCCTCTCTCCTTCTCTCCCTCTCTCCCTCACTCCCTCTCTCCCTCTCTCTCTCCTCTCCTCTCTCTCTCCTCTCTCTCCCTCTCTCCTTCTCTCTCTCTCTCCTTCTCTCTCTCTCTCTCTCTCTCTCTCTCTCTCTCTCTCTCTCTCTCTCTCTCTCTCTCTCTCTCTCTCTCTCTCTCTCTCTCTCTCTCTCTCTCTCTCTCTCTCTCTCTCTCTCTCTCTCTCTCTCTCTCTCTCTCTCTCTCTCTCTCTCCTTCTCTCCCTCTCTCCCTCTCTCTCATTTCTGTCTTAAGTATATATTAATGTATTCAGCGCCTTCCTTCTTGAATGCTTATACCCCTTGTGATTCTGTGGTTACAGTGTCTCACCGCTAGTACGCGCGTCTGTCTGTCTCTGGAGACTACAGATCTATACCTCCTACAGGTGATTGAACGTTGAGGGACCCAAGAGCTCAAGCTCTACCCTCGTAACCACAGTTGAGAGCACGTCACTCTAGAGAATATTATTATGAAGCATGATCATTGCGCACCAAGACTATAATTGGAATTCCGGCGGGTTTCCATTGTTTGAGGTGATATCCAAGCCAGGAGTGGGAGATGTATTGTGTGCCCTGGACCATTGTTATCCAGGTCTGTGGAGGCAATTAACCTGCTTAACAACTTCGTTGCTGGCTCATATTTTCTCACCTTACTGCGGTGTATTAATGGTTAATGAATATATATTTTTGCGTGTAATTCTGCCAAAAAAGGCATATAATTAGAAACGGCGGCCAGCGTATCCCTTACTGAGGTGGATACTGTAAATTGGTTGTGGAGCGCACCCCTGCACACCTGTAATTATTATCTGGGCGGCTCACTGATGATAGGCTTCTCAGTCCGACTTAAATGAGATAATATGAACAAGATTAAATCCAACAACAGAATTGACTAATATTCATATTGCATTATTTTTTTGTTATTTGTATTAGTGGATTGCACAAGGATCATATTAACGTTGTTGTTTCAACTTGTAACAGAACAACTTTCCTAGTCAACATGGTGAACTTGTTTAAATATATATACAAAACATTTATATTTTTTCCTGTTGAAAAAAATGTGTGAGAGTCCTGGATTATTTTGGATAATAAATTTGTCAGTGTTCATTATATAGCGGGTATCTTATATAGCGGGTATCTTATATAGCGGGTATCTTATATAGCGGGTATCTTATATAGCGGGTATCTTATATAGCGGGTATCTTATATAGCGGGTATCTTATATAGCGGGTATCTTATATAGCGGGTATCTTATATAGCGGGTATCTTATATAGCGGGTATCTTATATAGCGGGTATCTTATATAGCGGGTATCTTATATAGCGGGTATCTTATATAGCGGGTATCTTATATAGCGGGTATCTTATATAGCGGGTATCTTATATAGCGGGTATCTTATATAGCGGGTATCTTATATAGCGGGTATCTTATATAGCGGGTATCTTATATAGCGGGTATCTTATATAGCGGGTATCTTATATAGCGGGTATCTTATATAGCGGGTATCTTATATAGCGGGTATCTTATATAGCAGGTATGTTATTTAGCAGGTTGCTAAGAGCCTTTCTTCAGTAGTGTCCCCACAGATGACCAATAGACATACATTGAATGAAACAGTTTCAAGGTATTTCAAATGATCTCAAACGCAGATAATGGTGATAAACCTGAGGCATTTTTACCGAGTTTTCTCACTGGTTATTATGTTGAGTGGCTGAAGCCTTGTTGCTGTGGAAGCCTTCACCGTGTTAACTCGGTCACGCCTTGAAATTTACACCAATATTTTCATACTTTTCATAACAAATTGGGAATATCAACGAGTAATTTAAGATACAAGAAAATATTGTTTAACTGACTAGTGGTGAACGTATCTCTAGTAAGCTTTATTAATATAATATACTTAATGGTAAAATGGTAACCTGACGTATTAACTATTGGTAAGACTGTTTTAGTACGTTATTTAGTCAATTTGTTCTGTAAGACGACTCGGCTCTAATGGCCAGAGGTCCAGCTTCCCTGCCCTCCACCCGGCCCCTGCCCTCCACCCGCACCCGGCCCCTGCCCTCCACCCACACCCGCCCTCCACCCGCACCCGGCCCCTGCCCTCCACCCACACCCGCCCTCCACCCGCACCCGGCCCCTGCCCTCCACCCACACCCTACCACACCCGCTTGGGGGTGTGGTAGGGCGGTGGGGCCGGCCTGGGGGTGTGGCTTGCGTGGGGATCGGGCCAACCCTTTCTCTATTCTCTTAACCCTTCCAGGCACGGCACTCAGGTCCTGCCACACCCCCACCACACCCGCTGCTGACCTCTAACACACTCACACACTCACACTCACGCTCACTCTCTCTGCTGGCCCGCACCTACACACCCACTCACCTACCTACACCCTCACACCCACACCTACCACACCCTCGCCCCAACTAGAAAGTCTCCAGTGGATATTGCAACACTTGAATAATTAAAAGAAAACGTCAGAAGTTAAGGAAGACCCATTAGTGTCGGATGTGGCCACCAGAGTCCCACAGGAATCAAGACCTAGACTCATCCTGTTACCAAGATATGTTAATGGTCTGTCAGACGGGATAGACTCCTCCATATCGAGGTTCACCAACAGCGTCAAGTTACCGAGAAATACAAGTAGCGGGGATGACTACAAGACTCTACAGAAGGTGGCTTAGTTAAGCTGCAGGTGGCTGCTTGAGCTTAACTCGAGCATATGCCAGGTAATGAAGAGCTTATTTGGGAAAATTGTGACGGACACAAGGTATCATCTGCGAGACAAGCAATTTTCTGGAGTCTGACAAAGACACACTTGCCTGAAGTAGGAAACACGCCTGAAATATCTCGTGAAGTACACACTAACTAGTCAACATCAGCGGCATGTGGGAAGGATACCAAATGTATCCATATCAGCTTATAATGCTTTTTATTCATAAGAAAATAGATTAGGGTCTCTCCCCTGCATGACGGAGTACTTGTAGTAATTACAGCTGTCAGAATATAAGTCCCTGGTAGACCTGAGACTGCCCTCAATACAAGTAGAGTTTAGCTGGGTCGCCTGAGATTGTCCCCTCAGCCTCACCCAAGTGTGGGACTGGATATCGGCTGTGGGTGCCCATACACGGATTCCAAATCCACCCACAGGAACGGCCGACGCCCAAAATGGTTGGTCGTGATTATCACCCACGAGAAGCTGGGAAACACCCGGGAAACATAGTGGGTCCCAGCGTCGCCCTAGTATTAATTCTTGTGATTGTGCTTGCTTGAGGAGGTCGCCCCTTATCCCTGGTCAATAATGTCAGAGCATATCTCGTGCATCGCGATACGCTCTGTACTGTACGTATAGCAGAGCAAGACCAGATCTAAGAAAAGGCCAGTGACGCGTTACTACGTGAGAGAGGGAAGAGTGCTTAAGCAAGCAGGCTCTTAACAGCCAAGGTTGGCTTGTCGTATCCCGCCAGCAATACTGTGTTGTGTGTCCCTGCCCCACGTGTCAGACTCCTTGCAATAGGCAGATTCTCGGCTGCCTGCTGTGGCAGGAGCAACTTGAGCCGCTCCTTCATCGCTACAGGTGTTGCAACTTGAGCCATCTATACAGCAGCATGAATGTGTGTCCCCATAACCACATGCACGTGTGTGTTTCTGCTTGACTGTGTGCACGTGAACCACAAGTCTAGTACTTATGGTTTCACAAGAAATGAAGAAGAGATCGTGTCATGTGATGTAATGCATGGAGGGCGTACAGATGCTCAGCTGGTGCTCCCTGCACCACGCTGCGCCACGGTGAAAGTAGCCAGCTTGAGGTACCGAGACTAATCGTTGAGTATATTTTTCTGATGTACAAATGACTATTAAAAT